GTTAGATCATGTTAAGCTTGAAGTGTAACATGGACGTGGGACCAGCTAGTGCGGTAAATGCGATAAAATTTTGACAATTAGTTGAAGTTTTGTATAAAGGGATGTTAGTTTATAAGGTGCTAATGGATAATTAGAGGTTAGCTAGATAGATTAGCTTTGGAAGATAAAAGGATGAGATTAAACCTTAGGAAGGCCAAGTGTTGCGAACCTATTAGAAGTTGGACTTTGACCAAGGTTTCTTAACTTTCCTATAAAAAAATTTTGACCAACATTTCTTCATTTTCTTCTCTTGCTTGGCCGAACCATTGAGGGAGAGAAAGGGACAAAAGACTTCATCTTGCACTTCAATTTCTTGCTACAATCTTGAGTTCCAACCATAAAAATTGCAAATTACTCTATACAAAGTGCTAACTAAAGAAGAGTAGAGGTATTGGTGGAGTGATTTTGGAGGAAGAAGTACTAAGCTATCATCTTGTTTGAGGTTCTAAGATAACCTTGTCAAGAAATCCTTCTTTACTTCTAATACTAGCATCCTAGGGGTTTAGGGTTACAAAATTTGTAGTTTTATGATAAATATTGTGGTTTGAAGTGGTGTTATGGGAATTTTCAATTTTTATGGTGAATTTTCTGCCCATATGTGATGATTGAGGGTTGTCCATGTTTTGATGGTTTTGTTATGTGAAATATTGAGGTTTTATGTGTTAGTTTGACTTGTTTAAAGAAATTTTCAGCTTATGTGTGTAAATTTCAAATTAGGGTTTCAAAATTGGGCTTGATTGTGGTTGGTTTTGGAGCTATCAATTGGTTGTATGTGAAGGGTGTTGTGGCCCTAATTAAGTGTGTTTAATAGTTTATGATTTGTATGTGCAATTGAGGTAGAATTGAGATAAGTTTTGGTGTTGATTGTAAGGTGGAAAATAAGGAAATTTAGGGGAAGTGCTGTCCAATTTTGGGGCTACTTGATTCCTTTGAGTTTGGGTTGATTTTGGATAGAAATGAAGGGTTTTGGGGTTGTTCATGTTTTTAGGATCAATCGCCACCTTTTCACTCCGAAGCCACACTTTTGTGTCCTTGCATTTGTAGTTCATTTGGATAGGCACACGACTCATAATCGAGTCTCACTTGTGAATTCCGTTCACTAGGTTTTGGATGTGGGAGTTATGATTGGTTTATCTTGGTTGTTCTTAGGTCGTGCCGGTGACCGAGGACATAAACCGGGAGGAAACTTTTGAAGTTATCTTTGCTTGAACTGGTGAGTGTATCACTCGCATGACTTGTTGCTTAACTGATTTACTTATACTTTCGATTTGTGACTTGAATGACTATGATTTCTGTTTATTTTGGACGAGACGAGGGTGTACTTTATCATACTCGTTCTCTTGCCTGTTTGACTGGCTACTGTGTAAATTTGAATTTGTACCTGTGCATGATTTGATGTCGTTTGGAGGCTTGTATCCAACGACCTTATTGTGAAATCTGACCTCAAATCTCATTGGTAGTTAATCGAATCGAGTCAGCAAGGACTGGTTGAGGTAGATTGATGAACCATGAGGCACTGTTACTGATTCACTGAAACCTAAAACCCCTCTGATATTTGGTATACTTGAGTATTGCCCCACTGTTTCTGCTTGGTGTTCGGGTCCGGCAAGGGGTATATTTGGTGGATGGAATTTGGTGTAAAGTAGGGTCTACGGTCATGTTTATTTTTTAAACGTTGACGGAGAGTCAACGAGGTTGGATCAAGTACTGCAACGGGATTTTGGCTCTTGAGAGCCATCTGTATCCTTTTACTAAGCTCGTAAGATTTTAGGAAAGTTAAGAAACCTCGATCAAAGTCCAACTTCTAATAGGTTCGCGACACTTGGCCTTCCTAAGGTTTAATCTCATCCTTTTATCTTCCAAAACTAATCTATGTAACTAATCTCTAATTATCCCTTAGCACCTTATAAACTAACATCCCTTTTATACAAAACTTCAATTTATTGTCATAATTTTATCGCATTTACCGCACTAGCGGGTCCTACGTCCATATTGCACTTCAAACTTCACATGAGCTAACTTATACCGGAAAAATGATTTAAAAATTGTACTCACTTATAAAAATATCTAAAAAATTAACATAATCAAGTAAAGTAAGAGAAAAAAATATATGCACAGAAGTAAAATAAATAATATAAAATAATGATTTTTTTTCCAGGTCCTCGTAATGATCCTCGTTAACTTTTATAACATCAAGTGTTACATTTCATTAGGTTCCATTTAAATTTTGTATGATTTTATTCTCTTTAGAAGTAAACTCTTCAGGAGCGACCTCTTCAGGAGGTTGAATTTTATCATAACGTTTATTTAATTTTCGGAGATATTTGAAATCAATTTATACCTTATTTAGGTAGCCTATCCTTAAATTCATTTGTAGCATTTGGACATGTCCTTCGGGGACATCAATTTTATCCAGAGTATTTCTTGCAGGAATATTTGATTTAATGACTCTTCTGAAATCGATAAATATATTTGACAATTGATTTGCAACTTTTCGCAAAATAATCTTTTGAACTTCTAGTTCACACAGTATGGCGAGGATCAAGGAAATCCAACAATATTTTTCAAATGATTTCCTTTCGGTTGATCTTTTTTTCTCCCCCTAAAGTTGGAAACTATAAATAGATCACCCATCAATATTTCACAATATTTAATTGTAAAGGGTGATTCATACCCGATATAGATTTTTAAATTTCTATTGGAGCCATATATAATATATATATAAAGGGAATATGTATAAATACTTGTCGACTTTCAAATATTTTCACTTTTGTCATAAGAGAAACTAGAACAGTATGCCATGGAGTGAAAGAATTGATAGTGAACGTTTCATGTTAAAAGTTTCTCTAGATTCCAAGATGCCAAAAGTAAGTTCCACAAAATCACCTTCAAGGATGTCAAGTTCAGATATAAGCATGACTAACTCAGTAAACTTCTGGTTTATTGTGAGTGATAATTTTGAACCAAATGAGAATGAAAACAACTATATCGATAACCATTTCTCTCTCGAATGGTTATTATGATATAATCAACTTTTATCTCACTTGATTTCTAAACATGATCTTTATTATTGTCTCATTCAGTGTCTCAATTTGATATCTATTTCAGTGGATATTATTAAACTTCGATAAACTCTTCAAGAGTTATGAGAGTGTAGTGCTTTATTTATGACTTTCTTTTCTCCTACAGGGAGAAATATAGCAGTGGCTCTTCCGGAACTTTCAATCACTTGAGCACTATCATTGGTTGTATTTGTCTCCCTTATTTTCAATAAGAATATTGGGTGCGTAGTAGCACTTTTAATGAGACACATACTATTGTCATCATAATTCTTATGAGACAAATATCATCACCATAATCCTTTGATCCCAAATGTTTGACATTCATTTTTTCTTCAGAAAGAAAAGTCAATTACTATTATAAACCAAATTAATCATCATACGCCTTTAGGGCATTTAAGAAATTAGCCATGTCAAAATGCTATTTTAATTGATCAAATGTACTTTAGGACATTTGTCTTCAGGATCCTTATTTTCTTATCCTTATCAATATTATCCCACTTCAGGTGCAAATTTTTTGCTCTTACCATGATAAAATACATATTTACCAAAACTATAGTTATGGCTGCAACCATAGCTAGTAAGTTGAAATTTAGTCGCATTCACTTTTGGGAATGGACTAGAACTAGCATGTAATAAATATAGAATACTTCTCAAAATTTTCTCTCAATATTGCTACTACATAAGCATATTCGAGAAATATGTAGAGCATATTGTTTTCAACTAAGAAATAATTTTAAATATAGCAAAATTATGTACTTGCAGCCATAAGTAAATTTATCATACCAGATTTTGGAATGATTGATCATCTTCAGGTGGTCAAATATTTTCTTTAAAGAACGACCATTCTTTATTATTTAAGTATTTCAAAGGACAAGTGGATTCTCAAGCATAATTAATTTTCTATAATGGCATCTCCAAAACTCATTGCATCAGGATGTAAGTATCTATAATAAATAATTTTCACGATAATAAAGATAAATAAATATAATTGAAAGAAGAAATACTACCTCAAAGATGTCGAAAAATATATGTTTGTGCTTAGTGGTTGCTTAGTAGTAGACACTTGTACTTCTTGATTGCTCAAAAATTAGCCATAAGAAATTGAAATAAATTTATAGGAAAAAAACTTACCACAATAATTCATCAAGGGTTTGCCCAAGAAAATGCCCAATAGTTAATTTGACACTAGTAGAATCTCGACAGAGCCTCGTGTTTTACTTTCGCTCAAGGTAGAGGCTCCGTTTTCACCTTTTGTTCAGAAGTAGAGACTCGTGCTGATAACGTGTTGTGAAACTAATAAAATAAGAGTTAATCTTTCCTACACCGTCAGTGTAAACCTATTTTACACTGACGGCTCACCATATTGCGCCACCTCATTAATGAAAATTGGCAACCTGTTATAACCTGTAACCATTACCTATTATCAAATAAAAATAGGTTATTCACCTCTTTTTCTGCCTCTTCCTTCTCTTTCTATTGTATTCTCGATTTGCAACCAAATTCCTCCGCTGATCAACTCAAAATTGGGATCACAGGTTAGACTTCTTTAATCTCTCTCTCTCTCTCTCTCTCTTTTATATGTATGATGTCTTTTATAAACCCACTTTTACTTAATTTTTACAAAGTGTAAACCCTAATTCAATATTTGTTCAAGAATCGATTTTGTAGTATAAAAGAAAGATGAAATAAATATGTCAAAAAATAAGAAAAATTAACTAAGTTCCTCTTTATATTGCAAAATTATAGTGTAGGTCGATTCCAGCCATGCTAGTGGAAATTCTTATTAAATCTGTTTTGAATATAAATATAACAATATAATGACATTCTAGTTAAAACTAACATTCTGGTCAAGTCACTTAAAGTGGACAAATATTCTGGTCAAATATTTGAAGTGGACAAGTGAACATGTATCAATGAAAAGATAAATACATCAAACTATCACTCTACTTAAGTAATCTGAACTTGGACAAGCAAACTTGATAACAAACTATCATTCTAGTAAAGTAATCTAAACATCTAAACAGTACACGTGAATGAATGAAAATATAATTCATCAAACTACCAGGCTCTAAACAAGAGCATTTATTGCTCTTAACAGTCCACTCAATTATTTACTTTGGGACACGTACTTCTATTGTGCCCCTTCTCTTTGCAACAAGAGCATTTATTAATTTTACGAGACTTTTCTAAACCACCCTTCATCCGTAAGGTGCGAGGACGCCCTTTTGATGCAACTGTCACGGGATTGAATAGAGTTATACTCTTCTGAGATGTTTGACCTTGAGTGAGATCATGAATTTCAGAATGTGAGTCAACTTGAGAAATAGATAAACTACTGTCTTACTCATTTTCGTAGGGCAAATCATCAAGTTTATCAGATAATGCTTGCAACCCTTGAAGTGCAACTCTGCAATATTGAGTATGGTGTCAAATCAGGTTAAAAATTTCAATGTCATTTAAAAAAAAAAAAAGTAGAGGTACTATACAAACCTGTGGTGTTTTGCAGATCTTGAAGCTTTCTCTGAAATGCCAAGTGAACGAACCATTATATCATTAAACCACATGCTTGAATTTCTTAGCGGCTCAGCTTGGTGAAGTTTTTCAGAAAAATCCCCCTCATCTCGTCCACAAATAGCACTCATTGTCCAACGATCCAACAAATAATGCATTGGAAGTGAATGAATTTGTTTCTTTATAAACACCATCAGCGCATGTTTACAAAGAATCCCCACAAATTCAAACTTGTGACAAGAGCACTCAACTTTTTGTTCAACAATATTTAGAATTACAATATATGAGGGAAATTCCTTTTGACACTCATGTACCCTATATTTGTAAACTCCATCTTTCATAGTTATTTTCTCAGAAACATATTTCTGGGATTCCAGTAATTCATCTTGAAACATTCTGAAAATTTTTCGTGTATACACTTTGGCTGCTTCAACTTCCATAGGGTACAGAGTTTTCAAAATTGGTTTCGTATTCTTTGTCTTAAAATTTTTTTCTTTTTCTTTATCATACCTTGCCTCTATAGCCCTATCATATTGAGTCACAAATTTACTCATAGCTGTGCTAGAATTCAGATAGTCTTTGAAAAACTTATTCATACTCTCACTTCTTTGGGTAGTTGACATACGTGGACAAAACAGTAGCAATTACACAAAAGTAAATAATTATATAATAAAAAAAATTAATTATCACTATCCTAAGATTTAAAGTCTAAGTCAAATTTTATTTTTTTAACCAAGAAAGAATAAGGTACATACCTGCGCAAAAACTAGCACGCACAAAAGCAGGAACCCATCTTTCACGAATTGAATATACCTTTTGTATCCATGTATTATTTTGCAACTTGTACTTCTCAATTAACTCAGTCCAAGCCATTTCAAACTCTTCTGGAGTGATAGTGTCATGAATGCATTTTGAGAAATGATACTTGAAATCATTGTTTTGGTGATAAATATGGCTAAGTGTCTCTGGAAATTTTTTCTCAATATGCCACATACAAAAATGATGTGTACTCTGAGGTAAAACTCTAGCAACAGCATTTGTTATCGCAGTGTCTTGGTCTGTAATGACAGTTTTAGGAGGGCACCCAAGCATTGCTTCTAACCAAGTTTGCAACAACCAAACAAACGATTCTTCGGTTTCATCCCAAAGCAGAGCACCTCCAAACAAAATTGACTGGTAATGCTGATTAACTCCAGTTAATGGAACAAAAGGCATCTTATATTTATTTGTCAGGTATGTAGGGTCAAATGTAACCACATCACCAAAGTGTTTATATAATGACCTTGACTTAGCATCAGCCCAAAAACAATTAGCTAGGCGACCCTCTATATCTACTTGAATGGCATAAAAGAAACCAGGATTCTCAGATTGTCGCTTCTGAAAATATTGCAGCATTAACTGTGCATCTCCTTTTTCTAGTTCCTTGTGTCTTTTTGTACTCAAATAGTTACAAACATCATGATCAGTGACATTCAAGTTTCCAATTCCCCCCAACTTGAGTTGCTAAAACAGAGACAATCTTGCTTGGGCGAACACCAGATTGGTCTAGCATATCAGTCAAATTCTTTTGGGCCACACTTTTTTTCCTTTTTGAACGTAAAAATTTTTTGCTATAAGGAGAGGCAAGTACATGATTATGTTCTAAAACAAGTCTAGCAATAATCCACTTACCCTCTTCCTTTTGGGATACATACACCAATGCTTTGCATCCTTGTCTTGTTTTATCCCGTGGCATATCAGCTTTAGAATCTTTTTTGGAGCGAAATCCTTCTTTGGAACAAACAAATTCTTGTCCAATTATCGATTTATCGCTCCTTGATTTCGTGATACGATTTCTTCGCACACTAAAACCTTTATTGTGTGCATAGTTAGAGTAACACTTAAAGGCATCATCCAATGATTCAAATTCCATTCCAACATATAAGTTCACCTCTTTTCTAGGTTCAATCTGTTCATTAGTAGAATCTTCAGGCATAGATCCATGTGCAGCGTCATGGTCAAATTGATCTTGTTCCATAGGACATTCAATACCAAGTTCACGTTCCATACGACATTCAGTACCCATTGTTTTTCCGAAAGATGCAACCACAATACCAAACTAGAGACACAAGTTTCACACAATTGTCAATAAACATGACAATTAAAACTGCCACTCTTGAAATATTCAAAACAGATTTTGCAATATAAAGAGGAACTTAGTTAATTTTTCTTATTTTTTGACATATTTATTTCATCTTTCTTTTATACTACAAAATCGATTCTTGAACAAATATTGAATTAGGGTTTACACTTTGTAAAAATTAAGTAAAAGTGGGTTTATAAAAGACATCATACATATAAAAGAGAGAGAGAGAGAGAGAGAGAGAGAGAGAGAGAGAGAGATTAAAGAAGTCTAACCTGTGATCCCAATTTTGAGTTGATCAGCGGAGGAATTTGGTTGCAAATCGAGAATACAATAGAAAGAGAAGGAAGAGGCAGAAAAAGAGGTGAATAACCTATTTTTATTTGATAATAGGTAATGGTTACAGGTTATAACAGGTTGCCAATTTTCATTAATGAGGTGGCGCAATATGGTGAGCCGTCAGTGTAAAATAGGTTTACACTGACGGTGTAGGAAAGATTAACTCATAAAATAAACTACTAAAATATGGATTGAAATATTAGAGTAAGAAGTATAGAGAGAATAGAGAATTGTTTTTTTATTATTTTAACCGATCAAAAGTTGTTCTTGTTGTTCTTGTTGTTGTTACAAAGAGAGATTAGAATACCTCTACTTATAGGTAATACAAGATCAAAGGTACATGAATCCTATTAAACACTCATTCATGAATTTAGTACTTCAAAATACATCATTTGAATAGCTCCATAAATGAACTGAAAGGATTCATCCAATGTATCTACTTCATTCAATGTACCAATGAATCTGGTGGATGATTCTGAATCAACCTTCTTGGAAATACAAATGAACATCCACATCTTTAGTTGTTTCATAACATTGTATTTGTTATTTCGACACATTCCTTAATTTACAATGTCTGAATATTTATTATATTTGTGCAAGAAACTCAATTTCCATCAGTAACTTATTTTGTTGATTTCTCAAGTACAACCTTCCACATTCTCAAAATGGCAATTTACATTTTTGCTGAGATGCCAATTGCATGACTCATGTCTTGCCAATTTTACAGACAGATTCATTAGCTATTCCATACCAATATTCATGTTTAGGCTAAAAATTATTCAAGTTCAACTTTACTCTTTTTCCCCAACCCTCCCCCCCTCCCACAACACCCAAAAAAAAAAAAAAGATTCTATAATGGGAACTTTTTCTGGTCTGTTTTACCACAAACAACTATGCTATTCATCTCACCAATCTTTAGCTGCCTTTACTGCAACATTTTATTAGTTAATTTTCTTCAAAGTTTTTTTTTTTTTGGTTGAGTGTGAAGAACCTATATTCCCTTAAGTACTGTTGTTTTAATGATAACCAAGCAATGATGTAAAGAACTAATGTGATTTATGTTTAAATGGTTGATTATCAATCAAATCGTCCCAAAATTCAACTCAACTCATTGGTTCACGGACTAATTGTGAGTATTCTTGGTTTGGCTCTCAATCTTTCTCCTTTACCCTATCAAGATTCAAAGTCTCTCTCAAACCAAAAAAAGTATTATCTAATGGTTTAAAGTATCAATGAAGAATCAAGAAAAAGAGACAAGCCCAACAAATACTTAGAGAAGCCTTTTGGAGATACTAGTAATAGGTCACATGCTTTACATGTGATTATAATATCATAAAGTATAACATTTCTTATACATTAAAATTTATTTGTGAAAATTTTTAACAAATTTAGTATTTGCATATTTTCTATTTTATTTAATTTTTCATCTTCTTTAATTAATTATCCTTAAAACCATTATTTTAAAAGCAAAAAAAAAAAGGATTCGTAAAATGTTATTATCTATAGATTCATAGAAAATCTCAATAGAATTTTTAACAAATAAGGATACATTTTGTCTCTTTCAATTTAAAATTAACAGTTTTGACCAAATGTGAAATGATTTGACAAAAGCATCAATATTTTGAATTGTATATACAATATCGATACTTCTAGTTACTTCTTTCATTTTTTTTCTTTTTTCCACAACAAATAAATTCTGATAATACCACTGAAATTGTTTGATTTTTAATAAGATGAATGAACACTAAATTTGCACACTAAGTAAAAATTAATTATTTGCTAACCACTAGAATTGACCTACTAGTCAGGGGAGGGCTCTTAGACTTCTTTGTGATATTAGATTTAGGGTTCAAATTCTGTAATTAAGGATGAAAAGGGTGTGAGGAGGGGTGGGAGGGTAAAAAATAAAATAAAATAGAAAACACTCATTTGCATAAATATCAGTTGCATGCTCTACAATTATTATTTTTCATAATACATAAGCTGAATTTGTCAGCATCTTGATGAAATTCCCCAACATGAAGTTATATGCACCATTTTAAAAAAAAATGAAGAGATGGGTATTCTTTGAAGTTGTAGTACTCTTTCTATTGTTTTGTGTGTTATTTCTGTTAATAATGGAGTGTAAATGATCCAACATATATAATTTTTTTCAATCTAACTATTCAATTTTTTAAGAAGTGAAATTTCATCGGTAGAGATAATTGAGTTTTTTTTTTTTTTTTTTTGGCAAAATCTGACATAAAGCACAAACGACAAAGATTCTATTGTCCTAAGAGCACCTTGTTTTGGTATGAATAGTAATATTTTTGACGATTTGAAAATTCAATTAGGTTGTAACTAATCAAGAATTTTTAATGGAAATAAAAAAACTGAAAATGGAATGCAAAGAGACATATTGGCAAATTTCATTAAAGTTACAATTTTTTCCCTAACAGCTACAATCATTGCTATTATTAGAATGTAATAAATCTAATTATTGGGTAGAAGGGGATTATTAATCTAACGTTTAATATTTTGTCTTGTCATCAACCATTATTTTCTTCTAAATCAATATATGTATATGATATAATGAATTTTGGTCATCATAACAAATTAAAAAAAGCATAATATGAAACTTCAATAATTAATGAATAAGGGCATAATTGAAATAATAAAACTAAGATCAGAATAATGCTTACACAACAATGCTTAATTGTTTGAATAAATATCAGTTGCATGCTCTACCATTATTACTTTTCATGTTACACAAGTTGAATTTCTCAGCATCTTGACGAAATTCCTCAATATGAAGTTATATGTATCGTTTTTTGAAAAATGAAGAAATTGTATTTTTTGAATTCGAACCCTTTGTATTATTTTGAGGGTTATTTCTGTTAATAATGGAGTATAAATGATTCACCGTAAAAAATTTTTCCCGTCTAACTCTTCACCTTTTTGAGAATTGAATTTTCATTGGTAGAGATAATTAATCATTTTAAATTTAACTAATCCTAACCCTTGTTAATAAATGTAATGCTTTCTGCAACCTTATCTTTGCCAAATCAAAGAATAAACTGCAAAGGAAAAAAAAATTAAAAATGGACGGAAATTAGTTGGGTTTTGCCTGGACAGTCTGATGCACCAAAGAAATGATTAGATATATAATTTGACCAAGCATCCAGTTAAGAAAAATTCTCTTCTGAATTCCATTAATAATCGATAAGAAGACTCAGCCTCAGCCTCAGGCAGCCAAATATCTATGCAACAAAGATCCAATCTCTCACATGCAAAGGAAAAATATATAAACTTCACCAGATACGTTTTTGGAAGAATCTTACCCAACTTCATGGCCGCCAAACCAAATGAGTGCGTACGTTCATGGCACCTACAGTTGCAATTTTATCCGATGTTCCTGAAGGGACAATCCCACCTATTGTTGTTTCAAACATTTCTGATTAGCATTTGCACTAAATTTTTATTGTTCATGAAGTTCAAGGCACTCACTTGACCAAGAAAGCGCAAATAACACGACGAGGGAGCTGCATGTAATAACGATGCACCTATCTATAAATCATGAAATCAGCACCAGGGATCCAAATTGTCGCTGTTAGCTCAGATAATTTATACAGACAAGTTAGACAAATTGACATGTATCGTATCTTCCACGTTATCTTCTGAACAGGCTCCTGCTCCCTAATGCCTCTCGCAACCCCAATGCCCCATACCTCAAAAAAAAAGAAAAAAAAAAAAGAAAAGGCACCTATAAGCTTGCGTCTTATTTTTCTCTTGTGCCGGTCTGAATATCGAGTACGGGAAGCATTTAGCTTCGAAATTGATCGCTAGAAATAAGCTTATTGGGGAACCCAAAAGGGGCGATAAATATGTATAAAGAAAGCCAGACAGACCCACTAGCTGCTTCAGAATTTACAGCACAACAATATCTGCACTTGCACAGATCAGCTATATCTGAGCTCAATTCCCGAGTTCTTGATCAGCATCCCGGCTCCTGCTTCAGATGGATCCCGCTTGATGAGCCAATCATCATCATGCACTAGAGGGCAGCAAACAGATACATCACCACATTCAGCATCAAGAACAACTAAAAGATCTCCAATGAATAAGGTTGTGAACTAGCAGAATTCACATCAATGATTTACTGCTTTCAGATAGTTCATATAGCCAAGACATTGACACAAGTTTTCATCACACATTTTCTCATTCCAAAGCTACACAACCCATGAGATAGCAGCAATATGCTTTGCAGAGAGATAATGTCAACAAATAAAGTATTCAAAGAGAAGTCCACACACCAGTTTGCCCACCAAAAAAATGCCACTGACTTCAAAGTATAAATCATCAAAAACAAATTCAAATGAATATTCAACCACCTTAATCTAGAAAGGTGTAGAACACAACATGTTAACCAAAAGAACAGAAATCGTATTACGATTTCAAAAAATTTCCACGGGAAAAGTACTGAAAACCATTCCGAAATTTTCCAGTCCAACCACCTCTACAAAACAAATGCAAGGAAAGGAGAATGACAAGAACAAGACAAAAATGTAACTTCCTTCTGAAAAAGTGAATGCCCCTTTACCCCTTCAACAGGCACAATAAGCAAACAACATAGCATTCAAAAAGGCTTCAGCATGATCAATGTGACCCAATCACAGTACACTTAGCAGCAACACCACAAATTACTAGACGACAATCACAGGTGTATTCTGAAATAGTAATAAGATTTAACAAGATATTCCAATGAGCACTTGAAACTTCAATTAGAACCAACAAGCTGACAGGTCAGGCAAATAATGATTCATTCGAGAATGCATTAAACTGAAGGGTAGTAATGAATCACAAGGTTTGTCTATAATATGAATGAACTAAGTAGAAAAAATGAAGAACAAAAATGCCTGCATGGATTGCACAACAATCTGGCCTATCAAAGTAAACAACATACATCATCGAAAGAAGCACATCACACAGCCTAAGAGCAAGGTTAAGATGCTTAGCAATTACATACAGAAAACAAACTAGTGAAACATGCTGACTGTACCTGAGTTGAACTTGAGAAAGTAGAACCTGCAAGTTCCTCGTTAATAAATACAGGTAGTGGTGGCATTTGGCTCATTATTCCTGGCATATTCCTCATGCTGCAAAACAAGCCAAATTG